ACTTAAGTAAAAAGTAAAAAGTACCTGATTTTAAATGTACTTTAAGTATTAAAAGTAAAAGTACTTGCATAACAATTTAGTCTCTTAATGTCTATTTTCTAATGATTAATAAAACATTTAATTCTAACTCATTCAATCTAATACTTCTATAATGATGTTCAATAATGATGGAAAAAAAATGTTGTCACCATTTCTGAAACAAGCTTGCAATTAGGCAATATGAACATCATGCTTATCCTTACTATATGTTAATAACTATGTTTGGCAGTAAACGCGATTAATTTATGGTGTAATTCTGAACCTCTTGGCTTGCCATAATCCTAACCAAACGTATATTACACACGGTGCGCGTTTCCTATGCACGTAAAAACAAATTTTCGCGTATAAATTGCACGATAAAAGCACTGCGTGCAAGACGCATTTAGTGTGACCGGGTTGATATATCAATGTGTCACATGTCTGTCCTGTCTTTGTTATGCACATGAGTTTTGTTATGTTGAGCCATGTGCTCTTGTCGTTGTCTGATCCCTCCCCTTGTTATCTGATCATTGGTTTAATTGTCCCACCTGTTATCCTCGTTTACCTCATTGTTGCCTGCCTATTTAGCCTTCCTGTGTTTGCTGTCCTGTGCTCGTTCGTTGTTAATGGTATGGTTATGTTGTGTGTAGGTCTGTGCCTGCCACGTCATGTCTTTGGATTTAGTTTTGAGACCTGGATTTCTTTTGTTTGGTTTGTTTGATTTATGTTTCACTTAATTAAAAGCTTCAAATCTACTCTGCATTTGAGTCCTCACTCCACTCTACACAACCCGAACCGTGACAGAACGAACGAGCCATTTGAGGACTCAGCAGAGGGAGTGATTTGAAGCTATGATGTCTGGTTCCTGCAAAAAGGAGGTTCGTATTTCTTCTCCTGCTACCCAGGATGAGAGGAAGCAGCAGAGGGGGAGTTCGCAATCTGGGGAGGTTCCGCCTCGGATGAATATTTTCGAGTGCTTTGCATTATGGGCTCGTATTACGGAGGAGACCATGGTGGTAGAATCTTCCAAGCCCCCTTCCATCGAACACGGACGGTCGTTTGAGGGAACTCGTTTGGCCAGGAGGAGGGTTCCTCTTCTGGGGGTCCCAGTTCCGGTGATCCCGAAACGGAGGAGGAGAAGGAAGACTTCCTCCGTGACTGACCCGGTGAGCCCAGTCCCGGTGGTCCCGGTTCCGGTGGTCCGGAGAAGGAATCACGTCCCGTCTGTCCAGCGAGAGACTGTTCACGTCCCGTCTGCCCAGCGAGAGACTGTTCACGTCCCGTCTGCCCAGCGAGAGACTGTTCACGTCCCGTCTGCCCAGCGAGAGCCGGTGCCTGTCCCTGAGCCGGTGCCTGTCCCTGAGCCGGTGCCTGTCCCTGAGCCGGTGCCTGTCCCTGAGCCGGTCCCTGTCCCTGAGCCGGTGTCTGTCCCTGAGCCGGTGTCTGTCCCTGAGCCGGTGTCTGTCCCTGAGCCGGTGTCTGTCCCTGAGCCGGTGTCTGTCCCTGAGCCGGTGTCTGTCCCTGAGCCGGTGTCTGTCCCTGAGCCGGTGCCTGTCCCTGAGCCGGTGCCTGTCCCTGAGCCGGTGCCTGTCCCTGAGCCGGTGCCTGTCCCTGAGCCGGTGCCTGTCCCTGAGCCGGTGCCTGTCCCTGAGCCGGTGCCTGTCCCTGAGCCGGTCCCTGTCCCTGAGCTGGTGCCTGTCCTTGAGCTGGAGCTCATGTTGGTTCAGGACCGAGTGTTTTTGTCTGTGTTTGTGTCCGTTCTTGTGACTGTGTCTGTTTTAGTGTCAGTTCCTGAGCCGGCGCCTGTTCCCGAGCCGGAGGCAGAGCCAGCGCCTGTTCCCGAGCCGGAGGCAGAGCCAGCGCCTGTTCCCGAGCCGGAGGCAGAGCCAGCGCCTGTTCCCGAGCCGGATGCAGAGCCAGCGCCTGTTCACGAGCCAGTGTCTGGTCCCGAGGGTTCTTCACCGCCCTGGCTGCCCGAGTGGTCTTCCCCGTCCTGGCCACCCGAAGGGTCTGCACCGCCCTGGCCGCCCGAGGGGTCTGCACCGCCTTGGCCACCCGAGGGGTTTTTACCGCCCTGGCCACCTGAAAGATCTGCTCCATCCTGGCCGCCCGAAGGGTTTTCACCGCCCTGGCCGCCCGAGGGGTCTTCACCGCCCTGGCCGCCCGAGGGGTCTTCACCGCCCTGGCCGCCCGAGGGGTCTTCACCGCCCTGGCCGCCCGAGGGGTCTTCACCGCCCTGGCCGCCCGAGGGGTCTTCACCGCCCTGGCCGCCCGAGGGGTCTTCACCGCCCTGGCCACCCGAGGGGTCTTCACCACCCTGGCCGCCCGAAATGTCTGCTCCGCCCTGGTCGTCCGAGGGCTCTTCACCGCCCTGGCCACCTGATGGACTTTGTTTCTCGTTCTGGCCACCCAATGGACTTTGTGTTTTGCCTGTGTCTCACAGGACTAAACGATTTGCTCTTCCCGTCCCGACCCTGGTCTGTCCCTCCTGTCCCACCCTGGTCTGTCCCCCCCTCCCGCCCTGGTCTATCCCTCCTGTTCCGCCTGATAGAGCGTCTGGTAGCCGCTCCGTAGGGAGGGGGTAGTGTCACATGTCTGTCCTGTCTTTGTTATGCACATGAGTTTTGTTATGTTGAGCCATGTGCTCTTGTCGTTGTCTGATCCCTCCCCTTGTTATCTGATCATTGGTTTAATTGTCCCACCTGTTATCCTCGTTTACCTCATTGTTGCCTGCCTATTTAGCCTTCCTGTGTTTGCTGTCCTGTGCTCGTTCGTTGTTAATGGTATGGTTATGTTGTGTGTAGGTCTGTGCCTGCCACGTCATGTCTTTGGATTTAGTTTTGAGACCTGGATTTCTTTTGTTTGGTTTGTTTGATTTATGTTTCACTTAATTAAAAGCTTCAAATCTACTCTGCATTTGAGTCCTCACTCCACTCTACACAACCCGAACCGTGACACAATGGCAACCAAACGTCACTGGTGAGACAAACGTGCAACGAGCCGACGGTCAGATTACCTTTTGGCAGGGGAAAAACTGATCAGAAAATGTAATGAAAATGTAACAGAAGTTGTAGAAATGTAGTGGAGTAGAAAGTATAATAATTGCTGCAAAATGTAACGAAGTAAAAGTAAAAAGTATACACTATTTATTCTACTTAATTAAAGTAAAGATACTTGAAAAATGTACTTAAGTAAAGTAACAAAGTATTTGTACTTTGTTACATTCCACCACTGTATATTATTTTATATAAACATTTAGTATTAAATCATACAGGAGTGCATTGTTACAGTATAAATTATCAGCATATACAGTAGTAAATGCATTTAAGTAAGAATTGGCATGATAGCACACATGACTAAACCGTTTCAGCACAGAAAATGTTAAAATGAGCTGCTTTTGTTACTGCTATTTTAATCATGTTCCGACAACCAGTTATCAATGCAGTGACTCTCTTTTGGACACTGATGACACCTGGTATAGCTTATAGCTTAGCAGAGCACGATAAAAAAATATTCAAATATGAAAATATAAGTAATTGAATCTTCTGAAGATTTTTTTTACAACTGTAAAAAGACATTTGAGAGCTGCAGCAGAGGGGAATATTTTCAATGAATAATAACTTAAAATGCAGTCTTTATCACATAAAACTTTAGAGGACTAGAAATGTAGTGCTGGTGAACAAGCTGTCTAGACTATGTTTATGTTTTTATGGTGTTTATTTGTGTGCCAACTTCAGAGCTTGACAGTCATGCTCACTACAACATTCTGACAGTAATATCATTGGGGCAGTTGTGGCCTAATAGTTAGAGTCAGACTTGAAACCTGAAGGTCATGGGGTTCGATTCTCAATATCGGCTGAAAAAAACGACTGAGGTGCCCTTGTTGAGCAAAGTGAATGGCTGCCCAATGTTCACTACTCACTGCTCCTAATGTGTGTGCTCCTAAACTTAAATGAAGAGGAAGAGGAAGGCCATTTCATCCTTTAAATATCACGATTATCGTCAACACTGGTATATTGCGACACGCTTAATGTGAACCACTCTTAGTAGATAATATTTTTATATTAGCTCCACTGTATGCAGGAGACCCTAGGCTGTATTTTGAAGACCCCTCGGGGTGTCTAGATGTCATTATGGGGACCAGTCCCTCGAGACTGGCCTCGGCTATAAATTTCCACACGGCTTCGTGACCTAACTAGCAGGAAATAACCGAAATATGCTCTCTACAGACCTTTTGAGAGGTGGCCAACTCGACAGGGCCACAACGTCTTCGGGCGGACACTGTGATTGGCGTTTGCTGGTAGCCGATGTGTCCCGAGGTGCCATCGGCGGCAAGAAGCAAACATCGATTTCCTATGGGCTACATAAGAGGGTGAGACTCTTGTACTCGCCCTCCTGGGGGAACGCCCATAATCGTGTTACGACAAGACCTCTTGATCAGGGCCATCTTAACCCGAGAGATAGTCCTCAGGCTTTGAGCGAGAATGTTTCCTCTGGCCCCAAGCCTTATATGGGGGGGCACGATATGTTGAAAATATCTATCAGCAGGGACTAACTGGACAACCAGCCAAACTGACTGCTAGAAACACATGGTTTACTCTTGCAGCATCTTGAGACAAAAGCCAATTAGGAATTCCTCATCACATGACAAGGCAAAGCCATTTTTTTATTGGTTAAGAGAACACACTCTCATGTGTGAAAGTATTCAAAAGGCAAGAAAACACAGACTTTCCATCATCGCAGGAAGTCTGTGGAAAGATTACAAAAAAGAAGAGACAAAACATTCACGTATCGTACAGTTTTATATTTTAAGTATGTAATTTTATCTTTTTTTTTGTAATATACTTTTTAAATATATAGTTTTAATTAATTACTAACTTCACTGGGTCTTTATACAATATTTTATGTTTAACATTTTCCATTTACACCAAAAATGAGGCCTAATCAAGTTGTTTTTTCGTAGGTATTCAAGTGCCTGTACAATGACTCTGAGTCAACTGTGGACAGCAGAGTCTTTCGGCCTCTGTTTCGAACGACTGAACGACTCATGTGTAAAGACGGTCTATTCTCCTGTCATTCGTGCTCCTCTCTACTTCCTCTTTGCTATAACCATCATTGTGATTGTGTTCGGCAACCTGTGGGTCATCTGCACCCTTTCCTTTTTCCAGGAGCTCCGCACACCCACCAACTACCTGATCGTCTCAATGGCCGTAGCCAACCTGCTCCTGGGCAGTTTTGTCATGCCCCCCGGTATGGTGCGCTCTTTGGAGACGTGCTGGTATTTTGGAGACTTCTTCTGCAAGTTTCACTCCGGCACTGATTTTACGCTGTGTAACGCATCTGTTTTGCACCTCACATTCATTTCAATTGACCGTTATTACGCAGTTTGTCAACCACTGCAATATCACAGCAGAATTACCACACGTGTGAGCATAGCCATGATCCTATTCAGCTGGTGCTTCTCTGCCTTTACTGGCTTCGGCATCATATTTTCAGGGCTGAAAATCGAGGTAAAAAGAACCGAGGAGCTGCACGTTGCTTGCAAGGGAGGGTGTTTGGCATTGCATGGAAGAGAAATCGGAGTGACATATTCGATTGTGTTTTATTTCCTCCCCATGTTTATAGTTGTCAGCATTTACAGCAGGATTTTTGTTATAGCACAGAAACATGTTCGTGTTATAAATAACTATCCTTCAAGCTCATCAGTTAGTAAAAAGGATCTGAAAGCCACTAAGACGATTGCTATTGTCATTGGAGTTTTTATTTCCTGCTGGACACCTTATTTCATGTGTAACATCATAGATCCTATTGTTAACCACACAATACCAGCACTTTTATATGAGGTTCTAATGTGGGTGGCTTACATGAATGCAATATTTAACCTGTTGATTTATGCTTTCTTTTATGGCTGGTTCAGAGAAAAATCCAAAGTTTTATACAAAAAAACTATATATGTGTACATTGTGCTAAAGTGCCTGTTATGAAATCTAGAAGCACATGCTATTTCATTATTTCCTTCTAAACGTTTCCTGCTTCTTTCATTAACATCGTTTTCATTGCATGTAAAGTTTCTATTTATAATAAAATGTTTTTGAACCACATTATAATCATTTTAATTAGAATAGTCAATAATAAATTATTATAATGAATTGTGATACTTTAATTTAATATACAGAACATGCATGCACATATTCAGTCACTGTTAACAAGCTTTCTATTTCTATGATGTTTTGATCATTGCTTTAATGAAGCACATTTCCTACTGCCTTTCTTTCTTTATCATTTGTTCTCGAATAATCTAAGGAATTGAATGCTTCTTGAGTATCAAACCTGTGTTTGTGTTTAAATCATGCAATACATAAATAAGACATTTGGTGTGCTTTCATTCCCTAAAGATCAACTGAGGCCTTTTGACTCATATTACCTCCTAATTCTGTCCTATTGTGTCTTATGTTGACGATACCCATCTATATCCCTCTTAAATCCTTAACATGATAAAATAATTTGTGATGTGATATCTAAGTATCGCTATTAATAACAAAATTGTAATATGATAGAATAACTCATATGTAATAAATGCACTTGCAACATATACATGTTTCAACTAAGTTACTATAACTCTCTCAGTTTACTTGTACATACGGCATTTAAAGTAGACTATATTGTTTTATATTATTGCCTAAATAAAATCACAACTGGCCCCCCAGTTAAAATGGTCTAGGAAAAGAACAATAGCGAATTCCATTCCCCATCCCCATCCTAACTTATGTGAATAATCATTATAAACATCCATTACACTGTAATGAAAGGGAGATAACAAAGAACAATGACCAGCAGGAGTTAAAGAAGATCTTTGAGCCGTAGCGATGCACAGTAGACTCATTTACAAATCGAAGCACAATTGATATATTCAACTTTCAAAGTGTAATAAGAGTCACCAACTTCCTTCACTATAGCCTCTGTCACGTGGTTTTTATAAGTTCATTTTGTATATCATGACAGATGTAAGTGCCATTGTGAGGGATTGTCTTCACCACATTAGCCAATTTAGAATCCTTTTGGATGGTGTAATAAAGTATGGAAAGGAAAAGTCCAGACCACCCTCTGACATGTCATCAAAAGCATCAATCTTCTGATTGCGTCAACTGATTTTCAACCAAGAACCCAACCACATCTATAAGTGAGGACACATAATAAAGTTTTTTCTTTAGTTAATCTGCATTGACAAGGGTTGATATACCTCATTCCCCGTATTGCAACGCATCTCCCTCTCCTTCCACATTGTATAGCAATACATGTGGTCCTTTAAAGTTTCATGTTTATGAAATCCACGGTCTTTGGCCATAGTTTCCAGTTATGCTAGTCCACACTCGCAAAGTCATCCAATGTTCCAGATTTTCTCGTAAAGCTGAACATCCGACAGCAAAAACAAAATGCTGCGTCTGCCTTGACTCTGTACTCCAACCACTATCTGTTGTGAAACCATTTATCAACGAATGATCACCCTTTACCTCTGTAAACAGGAAATTGGTTTTAAAGCATTTGCATGAAGAAGAGCGTGAGCATATAATGAGCATATAATGCGTGAGCATATAACCTAGCCAAACAGACTGATCTCATGAAGTAGCGTATGACACGCCAATTCGTATTTCCATTTTTGGCGTGCTATCAAGACACACAATCGCTTTTCAGCGTGTTTATGAACGCTGTTGACTTAACGTTATTACTATAAATATATGACCTACCCCAACCCCGTCCCTAAACCTAACCGTCACTGGGGTTAATTGCATTTATGAGTGTTCCCTTACCATCCTAGGAAAAAAAAAAGATCGCTCCCCAGATGTAGATCTACATATTGCTTCATTTCGCGTGGACATTTGACGGCGTGTACAGACACGCGGAATCACTCGGACGTTAATGGCGTAGACTTACACGCATACACGCGGATAGCTCAAAATGCATAAAGATAACATGCCACTTGACTCGAAAGTGGCGTGTATGTTTATGCAAAAGTCATGATGTCATGTTGAGCCAAAGGATGGCAGAAAATACTGATTAGGGATGGGCATTCGATTAAATTTTCTTAGTCGATCGTCGGAAGAATTAACGATCGACTATCGATTAATCATTCATATTTTTGTATTTAAATTTATTATATTTCACTTTTTATAAATTAAAAATGCAATGAAAATACAACAATAAAGCGAGTTTTTTTCTTCGATTAGATCTTTATTACAAGATGATCAACTTGTTAAAGTCCCCGTGAAATCAAAATTGAACCTATTTACTTTGTTAGCGCATATTACTAGTCTTGTGGTGAACAATTAATCCGTGCAAGTGAATATATATATATAAAAAAATGTTCTTTAATCAAAATCTGAAAAGTTACTTCCGGTCTGGAACGGTTTCTTTTTCTGATGACGTAGGTTTCACAGTTTGGGTGGGGAAACGCTTAACCACTCCCCTCAAACCGTTAGTTTGCTATGAGCGAGAGATGGAGAGGAGGAGCGCTAGAGTAAAACCCTGCCCTCTGTTCAATATTCCGTTTCACTTGGAAATACGTCACAGCACTGGAGAAAAATCGTTTGCAACTTCCGGTTCACGGGGACTTTAAACTGGGCGTTTGGTCAGGCTAAATTTGAAGATATGCGCGGCGGTGCTCGTCTAACGCAACTGAACCTGCAGCTGCGAGTTGGCCCTCGTGAGACCCTCGTTTGTTCCAAAATAATAAATAATAACTTAACCAAAAACATAATAACATTTAGATCTGACAGGTTTTGTCAACATGTAACTCAATCAAGGCACGGAGTCAAGAAAGGGTGAGAGAGATTAGCCTACATGACAATCAATTAGGCTATGCTACTTTAAGCTTCATAAAAAATAACTCGCATACAACTTCTGCTCCAGTCTACTGATTTTTGTTGAAAAAGATAAGCATGTTGATGGCATGATCTGGGGTCAGACGCAACCGCAACCTGCATGGTGACCGTCACGCCTGGCACTTCAGTGCGTGAGCGCGAGTCTCTGCAGACTGCGCGCGCAACTCCCCAAACGGACGAGGTGTTTATATTTACACTCATCTTTGCCACGCGCACCTTCACGCTCGTGCGGACGCGTCGAGTGTAAACAAATGCTTCAGTCCAGCCGCTGAAAACACCGCTCTGATGAGGGGACTGGCGTTGCCGGCGGGATGCACAGGTATCTCCGCGCTAACATGACCAGCCCGGGGAACACGTTCACTTTCCACTCACACTACGCAACGCAGCAGCATTAGTTTAATGATAATCGATAACAAATTAAAGTGATGGACGAAATTCTTAATGATCAATAATCGATCGTCGATTAATCATGCCCATCCCTAATACTGATGCTGCATTAATGGCGTTGCATATTTTGGGAATATGAAGACATTGTGGGAAGAGACCTGTAGTCAATAATTGTATCCCTTAAAACTCATCTTTGACGCACTGGTCTCGTATCTCTCATGGAGGACTGGAAGCATAAAAGGAGGAGCGACGATTGAGAAGGATGAGAGAGGACCAGGCCTGGACTGTTTTATTTTATGTTTTGTTTTATTATGAGGAGCGGCAGTAGTCCCTGAGGGGCTGCCGTCTTTACTTTCATTTTGTGTTTATTTATTAAAGTCTTTAAATGTTCGCCTGGTCCTCCTTCTCCTCCTTCTTCCCACAACATCTAACCTCAATACAGTCGTGCTCGAAAATCAACAGGGAACAAAACAGTAAAGTAGTCCTCATTTCATTACTACGTGAAGAAAGTTGGCCGAATGAACCACATGTATATGGGACTGGAGTATGCCAAAGTACTGCATATTATCGTGATTAAAAAATGAACGGCTTTCTATTGATTATGTAAATTGACTATAATGTTTTTTGGGGAAGTCGGGACTTTCTACAAAGATGCATCGTACTATGCTGGTTAAGCAGCGAGTTACATCATTGTACAGCGAATCCTGTTTAGTTTCAAAATGCGCAATGTGCTCTGATTGGTCAGCTGGACCAGTGTGTTGTGATTGGTCAACCGCTACCACCATGTTTTGTAAATGTCACGCCTCTTGTTTCAATACACAGTTTGGCTGGTGGTTATGTTGCCCGCCCGCATACCGCCTCCCATGGCCGAAACTGGTATTACGACACCTGCCGGGCCGGGGCTAGTAATTTAGCATGCTAATTTAGGTTTATATCTCAGCAGCACTGTAACTTGTCAGTTTTTTAATGACATCATTGCACTTATTTCTTTGCATTCTTTTGATGCGTGTAGCTAATTTTCTGGAAATTTTTACCTCAATTATTACATATGGCACCTTTAATGAATTTTTATGCAAGGTTTCAAGTATCTAAAATTCCATGAAACAAAATACATTTGAGAAAAAACAATCTGTAACATTAAGAATGAATCTAGAAAATAACTGTAGATTGTCTTATTTCAGTGGCATTTTTTTCACTTCCATGTAAATTTTACACTGTTATTCAAGATTCAATCACCAAAATCAAGTCTAAAGATCTTCAGAGTGTACTTTCTTCAAAGAGCTATTTTTACTGAATAATGCAAACAACACTTATAAAATCATATCATATTTGGGCGAGTTATGATTTCAATAAACACATTTGGCTTGGATCACTGTGATATTACATTTACAATAACATTGTTCTTGAAGAATTGCTCTGAAATATTCTTCTAGACAGAATGACTCTGAATGCTTGTCTGAACCAGCTGTAAAAGAAGGCGTACACTATGGGATTACATGTAGAATTATAGTAGCCGACCCACAGGAACAAGTCAAACAGCAGTGGAGGTACAGAATACCCAATGAACGGATCGATAAGATTACAAAGGAAAAAAGGTGTCCAGAAAGTTAGAAACACCCCGATGACGATGGCTAAAGTCTTAGTGGCTTTTCCTTCTTTTTTAAATTCAGAATTCACACTCTGAATGGCCTGCACCTGCCTTTTAGCCACATGTAAGATTTTCAGATATATGCAGAGCATGACAAAAGCGGGAACATAAAAACAGGCCAATGACATAATAGTTGCTGCCTCTTTGCTCTGAAACAATATGCATCTTCCATCACAGTCAATGTTCTCATAGAAAAAATCTTCAATGCCAAGAAGATTAAGCTCCATGAAGATCATGCCAAACCCCAGAGCAGCAGAAACAGTCCAGCTGATAATAATCATAACTAGTGTGGCCAGTGACGTCATTTTACTGTGATAATGAAAGGGGTGACATATGGCATAATATCTGTCTAAAGAAATGATACAGAGGTTTAAAATTGACGCAGTGCACAAAGTGACATCAAGACTGCTGTGTATTTTACAGAACAAATCTCCCAGATACCAGCACGTCTCGATGGAGCGCAGCATGCTGGGAGGCATCACAACTCCTCCTACAAGCAGATCGGCCACGGCCAGTGACAGGATGAGGTAGTTAGTTGGTGTGTGAAGTTGCTTGAAATGAATGACCGTTATGATCACCAACAGGTTTCCTATGATTGTGACAATCGAAGAGACACTAAAGAGAATGTAGAGTAATATTCGAGTTTCCAAAGGATAGACAAACTTCGGACAAGATCTGTTACTAAACTCATAACAAAGAAAAGGCTTTTCCAGTATTCCATTATGGCTGATGACGTGTATTTGTACATCCATTTACACAATTCACTCGTGGTTCCCTGTTTGAAACAAGGGAGAGAAGTCAATTCCAGCCTTCAAAAATGCAGCTTCGTTTATGCATCTCTATGAACTATTTACATGTTAAAATTAAATGGATTTTAAATGCAATACTTAACTTGACCAAATAGGACAATAAATCTGTTTATTACTCCAATACAATACTCCAATCATGTTCATCTACAATGAAAGTTCTTTCACAGACTCTCATCCATGTTCTTACCTTTCCTTCCTTCTACAATGAACCAATGCTAAAGAGAGGCCACATAAATACAGTACTGTAGCACAAGAGTTTTATAACAATCATAACAACCTCCCTCCTGTCTGATCACACAACATTAGAGTTTCCAAGGTAACACAGTCTTCCCAAATGGCTACAAAAAAGCGCAACAAGGCCCTGAATCTGCATCTCAACAATGACTAATAAAAAAAAAAAAAAGACTAATAGGGACAAAACAAAACATAACCCAAATAACATTCCAAAACAAACACCCAAATAGTACAACAACAACAACAAAAAACTAAACACTTTTGTCTGCTTAATATGTTATGGTGAACGTGTTTAAAAATCAAATGATTAATGTTAAATGAGAATTGAGTGTCAAACTGATTATATGATTTTAAGTGATAGTTCACTATTATTTTAAGGTCAATATTTAAAGTGGTGTGGTGAGGTCACTGATCATCAGTTTCTGAAATACTGAAAATAGGAAAGAAAAGAAAGAATAAACCGAAATCATTTAGCCTCTGATTAGCAGAGTATATCGTGTATGTCACGGTCTAAATCTGCCACTTCTCAAGGAACAGCCTATCATAGGCCTGCCCAGCCGTGTATCGTGCGCTGATTGCCACAAAGGACCTCTTTTTGCGTGGTCTATTTGGACCTCAAGCACACTGAAGAATCTTTGGAGAACCCGAAGAATTGCAGTCAGTGCCTTATGCTGCCCAAGAAGCTTTGGCGACATCGTCTTAAAGTCACAGAGACCCAGTGCACCGAGCTCAGCCTTTCTGACTCGGATGGGGGACATGGTGTTGACGACGCGCTACCATGCTACCTCACTTATATGGGCTGACCAGCCCAACGCTGCATTCCCCGTAGATTACATCTTCACAGGCAACCTCCAGCTTGTCGACGGACTGGTCGGTTCCAGTAATGAGGATGACTCGGGCCTTCTTGAGGTCTCAGAGGACAAGGAGGCCATCTCGCCCTCTCGATCTTAACCACGGTCTTTGCCATGAGGCTTGAGGTATCGGATATTGGGACTCTTGGCATGTTTGACCCCTCCACTATTGAGCCCTCCATCGCCAGGCACCTTTACCCCACCCAGGGCAGACTGCTTTCTCCCCCTGAGCCAGTCTTGCCCAACTAGACGGACCATTTTTCTGCCTCAGTTCCCCAGGTTGCTTACAAGTCCTCAGCCTTGGCTGTCAGGTCCCTGAACGTCTCCTCCCTCCTCTCACCAGGCGGAGATCTTGGGCGTCTTAGGGCAACCGCTGGAAAAGGGAACCTCTTCACTATCTTTGTGGAAGGAGGTCCTTACGGTTTAGGACCTTGTCCTCCATAATGCTCGTCAGCTCCGGTAGAGCCCGGACGAGCTCTCTTTGGCCCAGCCGTCGCATTTATGCAGCAACGATGTGATGACAAGAAGGAAGACAATGCCTCCGAGTACCACCTTCCCAGGAAGGTGGCCCCATGCCAGGTGCCCCCTGTGCATTTGCTTAAACCCCGTCACTGGATGAAATTTCCATCAGAGACATCTTTAAAAAGACGCAAACTCAGCCGTGTTGCTCTTTCAGGAAAAAGGACCCATCACCAGTGCCGGAGCACACAGGGGAATGACCGCAACAACACTGAACAGTGAAATAAAATAGTGAAGCACACACTATTTGAGAGCTCAAAGTTAGCAACCGCGCTGTAGAAACCATCAGCACTGGGAGAGTCTTGCAGAAAAAACCACGACACACTTGTTCATTGTAAACAACAGAACTCTTCAGAGACATCAAACGATAGACTCGGAAGTGAAAGGCAACTGGTGCGTGCATACACTTCCGTATTATAATGATGCAAATCACACACGCCAATTCCATTTGGCTCGTTCAATAGTACTTGGAGATGACAAGGCAACTAAATAGGCTATATATTTTTGAGTTCAAATTCGCTCAAAAAGCAAAAGAAAAATTCCACAATAGTGTTTTCACAACTTTCTAAATAGGGAAATAATAGAAAGAGATTGAAAATGGAAGTCAGAAGAGAGTCAAATAGCTGGGTTTCAGTCACATGATTATGATGACGCGCGAAATACAGATGGAGGGCAGGGAGTGAAGAGCGCAATGGACGAGATGCAGGAAAGTCCGTACTGTACTACTTTTTATGCTAATTGCTAATACAAGAGAAAGATATAAAGAAAAAATCAAACATTGGATGTGATCCTTATTTTATGAAGAGGAGTCAATTTTTTCAACTGAATTGACTTTATGCACAGCTGCACTACTTCCTGAACTTCAGCCAGCTCCCTTTGTTTCCTGTCTGCCATTATTGGCCAAGTTTGATTAATTCAGGTGTGTCTGATTATTGCTGCCGTGACTACTGAGGTCAGGCACACCTGAACTAATCAATTTGGCCAATAATGGCAGACAGGAAACAAGGGAGCTGGCTTAAGTTCAGGAAGTAGTGCAGCTGTGCATAAAGTCAATTGAGATTTTCCTGCCATCGAGGCGGTAAGACCAACTAACTTGCCTTACAGACTTTGACTTTACAAAGTTCGGAAACTGGTACGTTACACAAACATAGCCACTAAAGTTGTATTAACTCACCTTTGACGAAGTGATCACTGCACACACGGGCATTTTCCCATTCGGCTCCCCCAGAACGCAGATGTAGGTTTGCAAGCCGTTTTTCCGGAGTTTTTCAGACAATTTCTTGCATTTTTCCCCCTTATGATCGACAAATTATGGTACATGATTAAAAACTCCTCATGGTTTGATCGATTTAAGTAACCATAAACAATGCAAAACATAGGCATTTTGATTTGCATTTCGCGCAATGGCAACGCAGTGACGTGACGTCATATGACCGTCACTCCCACAGCCATTGCAAATATACACTCATAGCAGCGTCAACTTGTTTCTTGTTATTTGGTGAAAAGGTAAAATACTATAAAGTATAGCGTTATTAATGTACATTTAAAAAAAACTGGACGAGAAGCTCAGCTAGAACAACTCTAGGACAACTCGCAGCAGATATCGCACAACTACTGTGCACACAATCTAACGTTACTGTCACTTGTGGTAACTTAGTCATAATGTTTCAGGACATTATGAAATTAAGTTAATGTGTGTACTGTACCTTATGCTATGACTGTACATTGTAAGTTACAGTTAAATCCCAATCGTTGGTTGCCTAAGTTACTGAACATTTTACCTCAGGCATAATGTTAGGCCGTACCCATAGGCCGTATACCTTAAATTAATTAATTTAGTATCCCACCTGAAAATCCGATAACATCAGCAATCTTCCTCCACACTGATTTCCGTTTTTTTTTGCCTTTTAAGATTCTGGTTATTCTGGGTATTTCCCAACTTCGTTGAGTGTTTCGTCCTTTCCGTTATCACTACGCTACTCCACGCCATTGTGTGTTGAGAACGTCGTTGTGACGTGTTACCTCCAGTAGGCGGAAGCACACGCCAGTGAATGTCATCATGCATATTTCGCGCTCAAGTACGGGAAAAAAATGGCAAAACAGAGCTAAAATAAAAGAGTAGAGAGGATTGCGTTTTTTAAGCCTGGATAATTTTTTTCCTACATGTTTAGGCTTTATTCAAGCTGTAAAACTAACTGTGAAAAATAAATGTAATGTATCTCGTAGCACAAGATACATAGGCTATTTCCCAATATATTTGTTTCTAAAGGCAATAGTTTTGAAAAATATAAACCCAAACTTAAACATCTGCATTTTGCTATAAACAAAACAGTATGCATAGATACTGTAGGTACCCTGTAATTTATAAAAAGCCAAAGCAATATGTATTGGTATGCCATTATTACAAAAATATATAGCGTATGTTCTTGCTAAATTGTTTTAATTATTCTTATTTTTATTGATTGTTTTAATTCCTTCTATGTAAGGCACTTTGAATTTCCATTGTGTATGAAATGTGCTATATAAATAAACTTGCCTTGCCTAAGCCTTGCCACTGAAATGTAAGAGTAGTAGAATAAGTGAATTGTAAATTTGTCTTCTTTACATACTTTCATTAAATACTTTCCGGGCTGTAATCTAAAACGTTACCAAAAAGTTATACAAAAGGCACAGTTATTTAGAAATATGTTTACGGGTCTGTTTTTATGTTATTAATTATTATTCTAGCACTGACCATCCAGTTTTTACACACTTTATTAGAATTTGATTCATGAGGGTCCATGAGAGGGCCAAAGATCAACACTGGTGGATTCAGAAGGGCCCTGAATGCAAAGACATCCAGCACTTATATATACAGACACTTCAATCACATACTAGAGTCTTAAACAACTGATTTGTTTTGCACTCCCAAGAGAAAGGTTCACTTAAATAACAATATGTTCAGTTAAATAACAATATGTACTAGGCCTACTCAAAAAGTGAAACGTCAAGAAATACTTTTTTTTAAGTGTTTACAACATTATTACAATAGCAGTGTTCTTGAAGAATCAGTCTGAAATACTCTTTTGGATAGAATGATTTTGAATGCATTTCTGAACCAGCTGTAAAAGAAGGCGTACACTATGGGATTACATGTAGAATTATAGTAGGCGACCCACAGGAACAAGTCAAACAGCAGTGGAGGTACAGAATACCCAATGAACGGATCGATAAGATTACAAAGGAAAAAGGGAATCCAGAAAGTCAGAAATGCCCCGATGACGATGGCTAAAGTCTTAGTGGCTTTTCCCTCTTTTTTTAATTCAGAATTCACACTCTGAATGGCCTGCACCTGCCTTTTAGCCACATGTAAGATTTTTAGATACATGCAGAGTATGACAAAGGTGGGAGCATAAAAACAGATAAATGAGAACACACTAGCTCCTGCTTTACTCTGAAACACAAAGCAGCCTCCATCACAGTCAATGTTCTCATAGTAAAAATCTTCAATGCCAAGAAGATTAAGCTCCATGAAGATCATGCCAAACCCCAGAGCAGCTGAAACAGTCCAGCTGATAATAATCATAACTAGTGTGGCCAGTGACGTCATTTTACTGTGATAATGAAAGGGGTGACATATGGCATAATATCTGTCTAAAGAAATGATACAGAGGTTTAAAATTGACGCAGTGCACAAAGTGACATCAAGACTGCTGTGTATTTTACAGAACAAATCTCCCAGATACCAGCACGTCTCGATGGAGCGCAGCATGCTGGGAGGCATCACAACTCCTCCTACAAGCAGATCGGCCACGGCCAGTGACAGGATGAGGTAGTTAGTTGGTGTGTGAAGTTGCTTGAAATGAATGACCGTTATGATCACCAACAGGTTTCCTATGATTGTGACAATCGAAGAGACACTAAAGAGAATGTAGAGTAATATTCGAGTTTCCAAAGGATAGACAAACTTCGGACAAGATGTGTTACTAAACTCATAACAAAGAAAAGGCATTTCCAGGATTCCATATTGGCTGATGTTGATTTGTGCATCCATTTGTGATTCACCGATCTGTAATAAAGAAAAAGGTTAGCTTGCCGACATAGCAAACATTTAAGCTTTTTGTGTATTTCAAATATTACTGTTGTCCTATACTACTGTAATCATAATGACAGTATCAGCTTTTTAACTGGTTTTCTAATTGCACACAAATAGCAAATGTACAATAAAATCAGTTTAGGCCTATAAAAAAAGAGGGAGAGAAAATCTAAACTGTAAATTGGTTTTGATAAAAAAAATGGTCACAGATTACTGAATATTTATCTGCAAACAAAGTACAATATAGCATGACTTTACCATCCAGAGCCATACCTCTTTTTTTCAAGTGGCAACTGCACCGTATGGAGTCTGAGAGACCAGATTTATAGCAGAGCAAAATCCCAATAGAACGTCCCTTTTGTCATCAATTGACCCTTCGCTAAGCCCCGCCCTCCCTAGTTACTGTTGCTACGCCTGTCAAGCTTTCGCGGCTGGCCCATCTATTATAGTGTGAATGCACCCGGTATCAGACATTCCCAATGAGATAATTAGTAATTTTCGGCGAA